GAAATTCCATTTTGTGGAACAGGGCGTCCCGCTGATAGAAACTACAGTATGTCGTAAAAAGACAGAACCCGCTACCGTAGCGGGTTCTGTCTTTTTTTGAATGTCTGGCACAGCAATGGTATTATCTGTTGTATGAAACGCACTATATCTTCCGATGATCTCAGCATTCTGAACAAAGGATTTGCTGCTGCAGGTATAAGCCTGTCCCTGGAAGGAGACAGCAGCTGCTTTTACAGTGTTAACTGCAACTTTATCAACAACCCCGACGGCACACTCCGGTGGATATGGCCGCGATCGAAGCGGAGTGCATCTTTTCTTCGTTTCTACCATGCCGGCAGCCTCCGGTCAAAAGCTATGGCGCTGCTGATCCGTATGGCGTTGTGGCTGGGACTGGAGTGCCTTGTACGTAGTGGTAAATGTTGTGTTTATACAAATGAAGCAGGCGGACGGCTATTGGAAAAGCTGAACGATTGGGCGGTGTTTACAGGTACTGTCGGTGAGCAGCGTAAACTGGTGGGGTGGTACAACTGGAAATATGGTTCCTGGTTTGCCAAGATGCCTTTGTCCAAAACATCCGCCGGAAATATTGCCAATGAGATTGCTGCACTGAATCAACCGTCTTTGCCTGCTATATTAAAGCCTTCAGTTGAAGTGGTAAACAATATCATACTGCTGCAATCTGATGTCTATGAAAACAGGCATACGAAAATACCTGACACGATCTTTGATCTTCCGGTACAGGCATTCCGGCAATGGCTCGGTAATGATGTACAGCAACAGGTACTCTGCACTACCAACTGGTGGAAGGCTGCAACAAGAAAGATAGAAGAACTGGCAGGTAATGACGATAAAAAATACAATCCGGTACTGACTGAACGCTTACAGGAGCTGATGGGCAATTTTAAAGGAGATGACCTTGCGCTGACTGCCCCCGCTCATGGCGACTTCACCCCCTGGAACCTGCGCTATGACCGGAATAAAATGGTACTGATCGATTGGGAGCTTTTTGATAGTAACCGGCCAGTGTTGTATGATCTGTTCCACTTCATTTACCAGGACAATATTTTTATCCGGCATCGTTCTTACTCCGCGATCCGGCAGGAAATTGATCGCTATATGGCGCAACCTGAATGGCAGTCATTTCTCGAAGAAAATGATATCGATCTGCGGCAGGCAGAGCAGCTATACCTTATTCATACCATATCCTGGTATCTGGATCTGTACCAGCGTCAGGAGGCATGGCATGTGCAGATCAACTGGATGCTGGATACATGGTGTGAGGCGCTTGGGTATTGGCTGGCGGCAGAAAATGTATTAATGCCCAGGCAGGTGGTTTTGCAGGATATGGTGCATCATCTGAGAAATACGGATTATGCGGTCCTGAAACTTGAGCAAAGTGATATTAAGCTGCTGCCTGCTACTTCTGATGTAGATATGTGCATAGGCCGGAAAGATGCCGGGAAGCTGATCAGCTGGTTGAAAAGCCATCCTCAGGTCCTTACACTGAAGTGCCGTAAACAGAGCTTCATGAACCGCATTACGATGGTTTTACACGACCGGAGTTTCCTGCACATAGACCTCATCAGTGAAATAAGAAGAAAGAGCCTGGTATTTATGAATGCTGCCGGAGTAAGGCAATCAGCATCTGTGAACCTGTCGGGCGTCAAAATTCCTCTTTTGATACATGATGTAACCTATGTATGGCTATTTCACTTGCTCAATAAAGCATCTATACCGGATAAATACATGCACTGGCTTCGCAAAGGATCGCTGCACAGGATTGTCTGCGGCATGGTCATCAATAAATATCAGTTGAACATACCTGCAGCTGTATTGTTTGAATATGATGAACATCGCCGGGGAAAAATAAGCCGGCTGCTACATCAGGATCGTGCAAATAGCCGGATAAAATATGCGATTCAT